GAGGGCCAAGAGCCAAGGACCGGGCCGAAGAGGTTGGCCTGACAGCCTATAGAGTGGGGACAAAAGGAAACATGAACAGATATATGAGGGCTCCCAGGCTCACCCTGAAAGCAGTGTGGCCAGGTCTCAGTTCCTGACTCTGAACTCAAGTGGAGGGCCCAGCACAAGGGTGGTGAATCTCCCCAACATGTGACTGGGAGTAGCTGAGCACGGGGTCACTCCATTTCCCTACATTAGAGCTGCTGAAGAGACACTACAAAGATTAACAGGAGCAAAAATGAAGGAGAAGGAAAGAAAAAGAAGAGTGAAGGAGAATCAAAGACAATGAACAACTGGGGGATGATCGAACAACTCCCCAAATTTACTACGAAACACTGAATTGCACACATACAAACAAGAAACTCTATAGTATGTGATCATACCTCAATAAAGCTACTAGAAGAAATGCCTCCTTTTCTTTCGTTGTGAGAGCTGGAAAGAGAACTTTTTAAGTTAATATTGATATTGTACTAGTGTTAACTTTGCCCCCAATCATACTGAATCTGGGTTAAGAAATTGGGGTAAATAAGGTAAGAAGTCATTTCACTTATGTGACTGACACAGAAACCCTTTCTCTCCCCTGACTGCCCAGAGAGTCCTAGCCATTTGGAAACAAACCCGGGAAATCCAATAAGGGGAAAGTGCCGGACAAACACTTGCCAGAGCTCCTGCAAGGTTACCAGCGTCTTATCTCCAATTTTCTCAAGGTGTGCTTATATCACAGCTGAACTGAGTGTTCACAAAACCAGATGGAAAAAGTCCCACTCAAATTTTAAACTCACCACTTTCAGGAACCCCTGGACTGTATCGAACTCATTCCTCCTCTTCATAAGCTACAGGCCAGTAAGCAGAAGATGACCTGTTTACCTGGCTGATCATGAATATGTAAGGACAGCCTTCCATGATGAATTCTGAAGGCAGCCAGGACTATGGTTTTGAAGACTAGGTAGCAACTCTTTAGCCAAGTATCTTACTACTTAAATAGGAAAAAAAAGCCCAAGTGTATGTACACAAGACTACAACTGATGGGGGCACCAGGCTGGCTCAGCTGGTAGAATAAGCAACTCTTCATCTCAGGGTCATGAGTTGAAGCCCCACGCTGGGCACGGAGCCTACTTAAAAAAACTACAATTGATGAGGAGCCTCTGTTTATCTGTTTACCTGTTGATGGCCCCTGGCGTTGTTTCCAGTCTGGGGCTCTCATGAATGAAGTAGCTATAAACGCTCAGAACAGCCTCACGTGGGGACAACCGCCTTTGTTTCTCTGCTGGGCCACAGAGGTGGGTGTGAACCATTCCACCAGCGAGGTATGAAAGTTCCAAGTGGTTTTCCATCCAGCCTTTTAAAAAATTTGAGCCACTCTTATGAGTGGGTAGTGATACCTCTGTGTGGTGTTTCTTTTAAGTTTCACTGGGGTATAACTGACATACAATAAAGAGTGCAGGTTTAAAGTGTACAATTTTACAAACTGACATACATCAATATATGTAAACACCCACAATCAAGATAATGAATACATCCATCACCAAGTCTCCTTATGCCCTTTGTCATCCCTTCCTCCTTTTTTTCCTTCCTCCCCCAACCACTGATCTGCTCTCTATTACTATTAGTTAGCTAGCACTTTCTAGAGCTTTATATGAACAGAATCACAGAGTATATACTCTTTTTTTGTCAGAGTGCTTCTTTTACTCAATGTAATTATTCTGAGATGCATCCACATCATTGTGTGTACCAATAGTTCATTCCTTTTTTTTTTTTTTAAGCTGGGTAGTGTTCCCAACTTAGATTTTTACCATAATTCCCATATTTGAAGAAAACATGACAACAGCGACCATCAAAAGGAAATATTCAACTAGGCAGGCCAGAAGGTTTGTAACACCAGCTATTATGCAAAGCGCTTCTGAAATTACCTTTCCTTGCCCTTTGAGGGGTGGGGGAATGGCCCAGAAAAGACTCAGATAAGCAAAAGAAAATGGTCCCTTGTATCTTAAGGACACTTGGCAGGACTATGTCAGCACTTTTCATCCCAGGATCTCAAGGGCTTTAAGAAATACCAGTTTTATTTCATATACAAGAAAATAAATGTTACTTGAACGGACTCAAGAGCTCAGCAGGAGTCACCCTTGCCTGCCATTCTCCTACTCTGGCAGGTACACACATTCTGCCTCTAAACAAACTTTCAGGTAAAACCAACTCAACAAAACTGTTATCAAATGTGGCTGCACGTCAGGAAACAGTCTGGCAGCTCCTGGAAGGGTTACACACAGAGCTACCACACAACCCAGCAATCTCACCTACAGCCACACAGAAACTTGCACACGAATGTTCACAGCAGCACTGTTTATAATAGCTAAAAGTGGAAACAACCCAAACATCCACCAACAGATAAGTGGATAAACAAATTGTGGTCTGTCTGTACTGTGAAAATTTATTCAGTCACAGAAAGAAATGGGAGTAGATACGTGTTACAACATGGATGAACCTTGAAAACATGCTCAGTGAAAGAAGCCAGACACAGAAGACCACACATGGTCATTTATATCAAATGTCCACAGTAGGTAAACCTGAGACATTAAGATTAGTGGTTGCCTGGGGTTGGAGAAAGCAGAACCGACAGGCTAAGAGGTGTGGGGTTTCTTTTTAAGGTGAGGAAAATGTCCAAAAATTGATTATGGAGATGGCTGCACACCTGTGAATATACTAAAAGGTACTGAACTGTACACTCTAAATGGGCAAACCGTACGGTCTCTGAATTCTATCTCCAGAAAGCTGTGAAACAGAGGTGGCTGCACAGCATTTGATAAGTCACAGCCACTTACCCAATAAGATAAAATCAAAACGCATTCAGAATGGGTTTTTTGAGTCTTTCTGAAAGCCCCATCATACAGTTAGCTACACAGCCAACTCCTAAAGACAAATAAGAAAAACCCCAAATGTTGTAGGCAGCCAATGCTACCACCTGGCACAGGAGATAATCAACTTTTTTCTACTTCCCAATTCTACTCAGACTTTCCTGCCCCAAATTCAGGGCCTTCTCTTGCAATACAAAGGATATTACTCCCAATCCCCAAACACAAAAGTTAGGCTACAGGTGAGTGGCTCATTAGAGTTAATTAAAGGCAAGGAAGGATAAACCTTTTCGATGTCATCAGAACTCAAGTGAGCTCAACTGCAACATCTACCTTCGGTGGAGAGTTTTAAGGCTCTTATTTTATACAGCTCAGTGTCCAGGCGCAGAAAAATAGATTATTTCAACTTAAAGAGAAGGACACACCCTGCAATTAATCGCAAATGGAATGCAAGGAACAAAACTAGAAGTCAGAGCTGCTGTATTATATTAGTTACAGTTTAAAAAAAAATTTGCAATAAAACAATTACCGTTCCCAATCCTGAGCTGCCATGAATCATGGCACACCGCTCAACTGAGAAATCTTTCTCCTCAGCCTTCTGGACACACTGGACACAAGTTATAGACAGCGCTTATCTGATCCATCTAAACATAAGTCCAGATTTCATCTATGTTTAAAAATAACAAAAATAAAACTCCTTACACCCCCTTTTTACAGCTGTGGGAACAGAGAAGTCTACAGAGTATGAAACTACAGGTGTTATTATGAGCCTCCAACAGCTCATTCACTTCTCCAGGCAAACTCTCCCAGTCTCTACCTTCCTCCACCATATGTACACCAAACTGAAAACACATACATACTCACACACCTGTTCTCCCTGATGCTCCGCCCATCAGGCGTCTATTTTTAAGGAGTCTGGGGTTAGAATGAGTCAAATGTTTTCTGCTTCTATTAGGGGCTAAAAGAAAATCCAAGTGGGTGGTCTACCCACGGGAGTGACTCAATCAACTAGAATGCAAACCCTCCTCCCCCAAGGACAGAGTCTGAGCTCACTCTGGCTGAGATGAGGTGGCTCCCCCAGCCCTGACAGTGGGTCCTCACGCCAAGGGACCCCTGTGACAAGGGATCCCAGCCCAAGACCCCTGCCATTCCCCTCTGCCACTCCAGGGCAGGGACCTAGGTTCAAGAAGTGTGAGCAGGCGTTGGTGGTATAGCGGTGAGCATAGCTGCTTTCCAAGAAGCGTGAGCATGATACTTTCCATAACACAACCCAAACTTAAAATACCTAAGTAGCTTTCCCTAAACATTCACATCATTGAAAACAAAATTTTCCAACGTGGCAGTACCACTTACGTAAAACCCACTATCACTGCCCCACTTGAGGAACAAACTCAAACCTAACTTTTCCAAGGTAGGGCTGTGGAATTACATAACAGGTCGGTTTCAGCAACAGGCAATGTAAGGAGGAAAAACAAAACCCAACCTGACTCTTGAATAATCTTAATAGCCAGCAAGTATGGGATTCTCCACTGGAGGCAAAAATTCCGTTTCTGCTCCGGGAGCTTCGACCCTCCCCTCTCCAGCGTCCCTGGGCCCGGGGAAATTTGAACCCGCAGCTCAGTGGGCATGATTAGGGGGGTAGGGGGGTGGGGCAGGGAGGACGGATTGGCCAGAGGGGGAACCGGGGTAGATCACCACCCCGGGAGCTGGCTTGAGCAGGGCACGGACCCAGCAGGAGGGAAACTCGGAGACAGGTCACCCCCGACCTGGCTAGGGACGGACCGAGGGCAGGTCACCTCGGACACGCCCGGAAGGGACTTCGGGCAGGTGACCTAAGACGCAGCCTGAGGCAGATTCTGAGCAAATCACACAGACCCAACCAGAGCCGGACTTGAAACAGGTCTCCCCGGGCCCGGCTGGAGACCGAGAACCGAGGCAGGTTACTCCGAACCCGGCCGTAATTGGGGGACCCGGGGAAGGTCAGCCCGGGCCGAGCCTGAGTGGAGGACCAGCGACAGGTTACTCCGAACCCGGCCAGAGTGCGGGACCCGGGGCAGGTTCCCGGGCGCCGAGGCCCGGCCCCGGCTTCCGGCGCCGCCATGTGCCGCTCACCTGCGCGTCCAGCTGTCCGGCCGCAGAACCCGCGCCCGCGCCGACCGGGCCGCCCGCGCCACCTCCTCCGGGGCCGCCGGGGCCACCCGGGGGCGTCTGCGTCTGGCTGGGGAGGGTAAAGTCGGTGAACTCGAACTCCGAGCCCTGTGTGTCGGCGCCGAGCAGCTCGGCTTCCTCGGTGTCCAGGAAGGTGAGCGTCTGAGAACTGGGCCCGTACGCCTCCACGCTCATGGTGCCGCCGAGTAGGGCCCTCAGGCCGGCTCCGCGCCGCACTCGAGCCCGCCGCCGCGCTGAGGCCTAGGCCGCAGGCCTCGGGCCGCCGCCGCCGCCGCGCCCACGCTCCTGAACCGGGTTGAAACGCCCGCCGCGGCGCGAGCCGGACCAAGAGCCACGCGTGCCGAGCCGCCGCCGCTGCCGCCGAGCCCCTCAGCGCCGCTGCTCCCCTCGGAGCCGCCCGCCGCTCGCAGCCCCCGGCAGGAACCGCCGCCGCCGCCGCCGCCGTGCGCGTGCGCGAGCCCGACGCCGGCGCAGGTGCGCGTGCGCGAGCCCGACGCCGGCGCAGGCGCGCGCGCTCCTCGCGGACGCCTCCAACCGCGCCCGGACGCCCGCAGCCGAGCGGGCCAGCGGAACACTTAGCGCGCACGCGCGGGAGGCGGGGCTTCTAACCGCCGTCGCGGCGGCCGCACGAGGACGTGGTCCCGCCCCAACCACTGCCCAGTGGCGCCCGGCGGTTTGACTGAGATAGTTGCTTCGGTAGGGGTGGCGAGAGTGCCTCGGGTTAATTGAGCACTATCTGGTTGCTTTACAAAGGTGGTCTCGGAACAACCAGTTGAGGAGGCTTGGCAGGGACGATGTACCTGCATCTCTGGGAGAAGCTCCCTGGGCCTCAATTTCCCCATCTGTAAAATGGGGTTGCCTGGCACAGAACGGGTGCTCACTATTCATTGGTTGAATAAAGGAATGGGGACAGTCCTTAGCACGGAGGCTGGCACAGGGCAATGGTGATTGCTGCTGCTTCGGACCATAATCATAACAATAATGTTAATTATTAATGTAATTATTATATTAGCCATAATAACATGATATATTGTAATTATTAATTACATTAATTATAATCACATAATAATTTTTAATCTTATTCAGAGGCAGTATATAACAAAGTGATTGGGAGCACTTGCTCTGGGGTGAAATCCAGACCTGGACACCTGCCAGCTGTGTGACTTTGTACAAGTGACTTCACTTCTCAGGGCCTAGAGTTTCCTCCCCTGAGAAAGGGAAATACTATCCATTAAGATGGGATGAAGAGGGGCACCTGGCTGGCTCAGGGGGTGGAGCCTGTCCCTGGATCTCCAGGTTGTGAGTTCCCGCCCCATCTTGGGTGTAGAGATTGCTTTAAAAAATATTTTAAAAATGGGATGAAGAATACGTGAACTACTATTCACTCCCTTAAGTATTTATAAAGGAAAATTCCACATGGACAGAGGTTGGCTTTGTTCACATCACACAGTCTTCCCTAAGGGGAGACTAATGCCCCCACACAGTAAGTGCTCAGTAAAAGTTTGTCCAAAGGAAGCCTCAGCTTCCTTTTTTAATAGCGACTCAGAGAACCTCCCCACCTCCACTTCCCTTTTTGTCACAATATTCTGGGGCCCTCTAAATGCTTGAAGTCAGTTCACGGGGCTCCTGGTTTGCACAGCTACACTAAAAGTTCCTGATCCTTCATGGTTCCTCATTTTCCAATATTCCTGTCATTACATTGATAAGAGTTTCCTTTTTCTTTCTTTACATCTTTTCTGGCCTCCTACCATGCATTAAAATGTGGGAATATAGAAATTAAATAATTAGGTCCCCAGGAACACAGTTTAAGAGGAAATTCCAACAAACCAATAGATGGTTTCAATAAAACACAAAGTGCTCTTTGGAAAATACTCAATTGAATTGATAGAAGCATTTAAAACCAATCTAGTAACACCTATCAGAGTTTTAAACACCTCCTCCTCCCCTCCTTTGACCTAGCAATTCCACTTCTAAGGATTTCCTCCTTATTTTCTACATGCAGTTACGTTTGCAAAATGACATTTTGGATGCTATGCTAAAACATTATTTACTACAAAAAAGTTGGTAATGGAATTGTGGTGAGAAAAGACATGGGCATATAGAAAACAAACAGCAACATGGCAGAAATAAGTCCTTATTCGTAATTACTTAAATGTAAATGGATTAAAATCTTCACTTACAAGGCGGAGATTGTCAGATGGATTTTAAAAAATGATCCGACTAGGGGTGCCTGATGGCTCAGTCGCTTAAGTGTCTGCCTTTGGCTCAGGTCATGATCTCAGGGTCCCTGCTTCTCCCTCTCCCTCTGCCCCTCCCCCTGCTCATGCTCTCTCTCTTTCTCTCTCTCAAATAAAATCTTTTTAAAAAATGATACAACTGGGGCACCTGGGTGGCTCAGTCGTTAAGCATCTGCCTTCGGCTCAGGTCATGATCCCAGGGTCCTGGGATTGAGCCCTGAATTGGGCTCCCTGCTCTGCGGGAAGCCTGCTCCTCCTTCTCCAACTTCCCCTGCTTGTGTTCCCTCTCTCACTGTGTCTCTCTCTGTCAAATAAATAAATAAAATCTTAAAAAATAAAATGATCCAACTAGATGCTGTCTACAAGAGACCCAGTTTAGACTCAAAAACACAAATAGGTTGAAAGTAGAGGGATAGAAAGAGATAGTCCATGCAAACAACAACAAAAAGAGAGCTGGATTGTCTATACTAATATCAGATAAAATAAACGTTAAGATAAAAATTATTACTCAAGACAAAGAACATTATATAATGATAAAAATTTCAATTTTTTTTAAAGATTTTATTTATTTATTTGAGAGAGAGAGAATGAGAGACAGCATGAGAGGGAGGAGGGTCAGAGGGAGAAGCAGACTCCCTGCCAAGCAGGGAGCCCGATGCGGGACTCGATCCAGGGACTCCAGGATCATGACCTGAGCCCAAGGCAGTCGCCTAACCCACTGAGCCACCCAGGCGCCCCCAAAATTTCAATCTATTAAGAAGATACAATAATTATTGGGATGCCTGGGTGGCTCAGTGGGTTAAGCGTCTGCCTTCGGCTCAGGTCATGATCTCAGGGTCCTGGGATCGAGTCCCGCACTGGGCTCCCTGCTCAGCAGGGAAGTCTGCTTCTCCCGCTCCCACTCCCCCTGCTTGTGTTCCCTTTCTCGCTGTGTCTCTCTCTGTCAAATAAATAAATAAAATCTTAAAAAAAAAAAAGGAAGATAACAATAATTATAAAAGTATATGCACCTATCAACAAAGTCCCAAAATACATGAGGCAAAATGGGATAAAACTGAAAGAAGAAATAAACAATTAAATAGTAACTATTGTTTACAATAGAGAAAAGAAGTCAAAGACTTACTTCCAGATTGGAATGTTAGAGTGGATGGTCATTTAAGACCACCCTCAGAGGGTCCAGAGGACACACTTTTTCTCTGTGACTATGAGAAGTGAATTTGGGGGGAGCCCCAGCATCCTTAAGGTGAGCTCTCTGATCACTCATCTCTGTAGGCCAGAACTTATAGTGGCAAGAGTGGCCACTGAATTGGGAAACCTAAATGTAATGAGAGTAATTGGACTCTGGGGAGGTAGGGGCCCAGTGGTGGCCCTCAACCACCAAAGGCAAGGTAGGTGTGGTTACCATAATGGATAGCAGGGTCAAAGGAGCACTCAGAATAGTCTGACCCACAGAATAGTCTGTGGTTTGGGCTAGTTGATCATGGTACTCCCAGAAGTGAAATAGATGGGAAGCTTACTAAATCCTTATTTGTTCTGTATAAGCAGAAGAGTTCTAGATCAAGTGAACGAAAGTCTAACTTGAATCAAAAACAGAGAGTCACAGCCTCTCAATCAACTTCTGGACTTGAGCCAGTTCACAAACCCAAGTCCCTTGAATAAAGGGGAGGCCAGGTCACCTTGAGGAAAGACCCCACTACACTACTGAAAATTTATACTATTAATCTTTCTCACAGCCTCCCCCCACCCCGGGACCTATGGCTGGCCCTTTACCAGGGTGACTGTGCGTTGGGGAAAAGGCAATAATCAGAGCTCTCAGGGATTACTGGACACTGGCTCTAAACTGACACTAATTCCAGGAGACCCAAAACCTCACTGTTGTCCACAGTCAGAGTAGGGCCTTCTGGAGATGAGATATGGGTCCAGTGGGTCCCCAACCCCATCCTGTGGTTATTTCCCCAGTTCTGGAATGCACAATTGGAATAGATACACTTGGCAGAATCTTCCTATTGCTTCCCTGACCTGTGGAGTAAGGACTATTATGGGAGGGAGGGGCATAGCAAAGGGAAAGCCACTAGAACTGCCTCTACCTAATAAAATGGTAAACCAGGGCGCCTGGGTGGCTCAGATGTTAAGCATCTGCCTTCGGCTCAGGTCATGATTCCAGGGTCCTGGGATCAAGCCCCACATCGGGCTCCTGGCTCAGCAGGGAGCCTGCTTCTCCTTCTCCTTCTCCCTCTGCCTCTCTCCCTGCTCATGCTCTCTCTCTCTGTATCTCTGTGTCTCAAATGAATAAATAAAATCTTTAAAAAAAAAGAAGACCACTTTATCTTTAAAAAAAAAAAAATGGTAAACCAAAGCAATACTCTTGGGATTCCGGAGATTAGTGCTACGATTCTCACTCCATTCCCATTCAACGCTCCTATGTGGCTTGTGCAGAGGACAGATGGAGCTGGGAGCATGACGGTGGATTATTGCAAGCTTAACCAGGTGGTAACTCCAATTGCAGCTGTTCAACCAATGTGGTTCCATTGCTTAAGCAAATGAACACACCCCCTGGTACCTGGTGTGCAGCTCTTGGGCAGGCAAATGTCTTTTTCTCCAATCCTGTACCTAAGGGCCACCAGAAGTTGTTTGCTTTCAGCTGGCAAAGCCAGCAATACAGCTTCAAGGTTCTATCTCAGGGGTATATCCACTCTCCAGCCTTATGTCCTAATTTAAGTATCGGGAATCTTGACCATCTTTCCCTTCCACGAGATACTGCTCGAGGCCATTACATCGATAACATTCTGTCGATTGAGCCTAGCAAGGAAAGAGAAAATCCTCTAGACTTATTGGCAAGACATTCTCTTATCGGAAGATGGGAAGTAAATCTGACAATATTTCAGGGACCATCCAGCTCAGTGAAATTTCTAGACATCCAGCGGTGTGGGGAAATGTTGAGATACCCCTTCTAAGGTAAAGGATAAGTTGTCGCATCTGGCGCCTACCACAACCAAACAAAAAGCACAATGCCTGGCGCCTGGGTGGCTCAGATGGTTAAGCGTCTGCCTTCGGCTCAGGTCATGATCCCAGGGTCCTGGGATCGAGTCCCACATCGGGCTCCTGACTCAGCAGGGAGTCTGCTTCTTCCTCTCCCTCTGCCTCTCCCACTGCTCATGCTCTCTCTCTCTCTCTGTATCTCTGTGTCTCAAATGAATAAATAAAATCTTAAA